CCTTCAATGACGGTTACAGACATGAACCTTCCCGACCTGGACAGCAGCCTTGCCAGTGTGAGTAGCTGTTAAAAATCCCTCCATGCACACACAGCTGCCAGAATGAAGTGTGTCCTGCTGTTCTGCAGCAGCCTCTCCGTGTGATTAAAGGAGGGCTCTGACAGGCTCTGAAGAGTGTCCAGGCCAGCCCCAGCCCGAAGGGAGGGGATGTGGGAGAGAGGAGGAACGCGGAGCCCTGTGCAGGCTTGGGGAGCCACCGGGGGGAAATAATTCAATTAGCACTGCGGCTTTCTCTGAGCAGCTCATACAGAGAGCAGGGCTACTTCATCATTCATACTCGGTTAATTAGGTGCTGAGACTTCCATGTCTCATGTGAGCTCTGCCCCCTGAACGTGGAAGTGCACTGAAGCCTAGAGAGCTGCATGTGGTTTCCATAAACCTTCCTTCTGACTTTCTTAAATCGTCAGGAGGTTTTCTCAAGGCAAACTCCGTCATGTGCTGTGTTATTTATTTTATTTACTTGCGTATCGTCAGCGCTGAACGCCATGCGAGGCACTAATACAGACTCCCCTTGCAAGAGCCAGCGTTGCCTGATAAAATGATTTTTTCGCTAGATGATGATGATTAGTCAAACACAGCATTTCGTGACTGCACTGAGAAGGCGCTTGGAGCAGCAGGGTGGAAGTTACGGTCAAAACCGGAGAGTCCCAGGCCCTCAGAGTAGCCTGATGACTGGAGTGCTCCCGGGCTGGGGCAGAGCCAAGTCCTTCTCCCTGCCCTGGTTCAGAGGCTCCGGTGGTGTGCCAGCTCCGTGCGCGCTCCAGCCCCAGGGCTGCAGCGCTGGCCTCTCTCTGCCCAGGGACGCGTATCGGTATTTGCACAAAATGGAACGACTCCGTGAGAACAACTGAGAGGGAGACCGAGATAAAAAAACAGCTTGGATGCTGCCGCGAGTGCAGGAGAGTGAGTCTGGTCCGGATCGGACCAAGCAGGGGACTCCTGGTCCAGTTGATAGAGTGAGCAAGAGACCCTCAGCTGGCCTCTAACCCCTTCTCCCCCCCCACTACTCTTTTTTTTTTTTATCTGAAAAAGCACAAAGGGATCTTGTGTTTTGTCCCCCAGTGCAGAACAGGAAACATCTTGAAAGTTTCTGCAAAACAGGAAAGCCCAAATTTAGTCTCCTTGCTGGGGACCTTGTGGGCCCACAGGTGATGCAGCGCACGCTCCTGGGAGGGCTGTGAAGGAGGTGTTCAGGCCGGTGTTCACCGAGCACGGACGGCACCGAGCCCCTCTCCAAAGTACACCTTCAGAGGCCTTGTGGCTGTTCCCTGAGCAAAACAATTCCCACAGGCTCGGTTGGGGTGCACCTTACCCTGCACTGGAGTGCGCCTGGGATGTGGGGTAAAACACAGAACAGGAGCTCGCAGTCGATAATGCTGCAGCGTCTCGGGTGCGTGTCTCTCACTGGACACTTCTCTGCCTTTCTGCTTCTTCCTCCTGCCCAGTGGTGTGGCGCAGACACCCCATGGCTAGCCACGTTCTTGGGATATTTGCAGGGAAAAAGGGCTGTAGGGGGAAGTGCAAAGGTGCAGAGTACTGTTTTACACATGTGCAGGCAAATGCCTGCCCCGTAAGTTGTTTTAACCACGTTTCCTACTGACTCGAGGCTCTGCTGCAGCGGCTGGGGCTGGGGCTGGCTGGGCAGGGCGAGCAGGGCGAGGGATTAGTGGGATGTGGGAGGAGAACGCGAACAGTGACAATTCAGTAGTTCAGAAATTAATTACTTCGTGTCGTTGAGCTGAGAGTTACAGCGTAGAAAATCTGGAAGCAGGATTTACTAAAGGAGCCTTAACTGGTGTCCTGTGAAATTCACAGCTTCGCTCTTCGGCTCAGGTAGTGCTTGGATCGAGGTGACTTGTCCATTATTTTTCTCTTCTCCTCTGTGATGCTGGGAGGAGCGTTTTGTTGGGCTTTGTCTTCGCCCAGCCTTCACGCTACAGAAATCCCCGTGCTGGCTGTGGGTTGAGCTGCAGGGCTCCTAAATTGTGGCCAGACGGTCTGTGAAGACAGACCCGTGTGCTCACGACCCGTCTGCTTTTACTTAGTGCCAGTTGCTACGTGGCAACAAAAAATGCTGGGTACACATTTAAATACTTGCTAAGGTGACTTTTCCATGGCAGCAGTTGCTGTAATGAGCAGCCACGGGATTATTAGCTGCCTGTAAATCCAGAGAGGGAAAGTGATCCCACAGGAGAGTCTCTGCTCAAGCGTTGTCCTCCCAGTAGCACCAGTGGAGAATCCTGCTCGGCGGTCTGGGATTAGCAGGCTCAGCGCTGTGTTCCCCAGACGACGTTAGCTCTGAGGGCTGGCAGGGCTTCCCTCCTGACTTTGCAGCGAGCGGAGCTTCTCGGGTGGGCAGAGCTTCCAAAGTTTTTCTCCCTTTAACACTCACTTCTCAGCCTTTCCAGCCCGGTCGTGCCTGTGGGACGGGGGTGTGAAACGGGATCGTGTCCTCAGCCACAGCCCGGGTCGCTCCGGCAGCTTGCCGGTACCTGCAGCTCTCAGGTGCTTTCGTTGCAATAAGACTGTCAATAAATAAAAATAAATTCAAAAAAATATAAAATAAAATGGCTCATTACAAACGTGTGCTGAAGGCTTTCCCTGGGGTTTTAGATCCCGAGATGCAGAAAAGCCTCATGCTGTGATCGAAGGGAGCATTGCAGAGCAGGACCTTTGCGTATAGAAGAGAGGATCTGTGAAACCAGGTTTGGTCTGGGGAGTCGTGCACTGGCTGAACCGGCCACGTTTGCGACCTGGGAGCTGGAGCGCTCCGCACAGGCTGCATCTGGGTCCGTGCGGGCTCACTGACAACCTTGGAAACCTCTGAGGAGGTCTCTCTCTGCCTCAGTGCGGCTTCGAGACTGTAAATCGCGGCTTTCTTGGCGCAGTGTGTGCGTTGGGTCAGTCCCGAGGCGGGCACAGAGGGGACCCACGCACGTCTGACCCATGCAACGCACTTACCGACCCAACCTTTCTCCCTGCAGATTCAGGATCTCCTTTCATCCCAGGAACAGCAGAAACCTACTGAGACAGAGGCCAGCACAGCAGACACAGGTACGAGGCAGCCGTCTCGGTGTTTAGTGACTCAGTAGCGCGAGACTTGAGGCTGCGGCAAAATCATTTCTCCTCCCAAAAAGCATATTTGGCTGAGAGAGATGAGACCGTTTAGCCTAGAAAAGAGAAAGTACGGAGGGGATCTTAGCTACATCTCTAAATCCCTGATGGGAGGGAACGAAGCAGGGGGAGCCAGGCTCTCCTCAGCAGTGCCCAGGGACAGGGCAAGAGGCCATGGCACGAACTGAAACACACGAAATTCCATCAGAACACGCAAAAACGCTTTTTCACTGTGAGGGTGGTCAAACGCTGGCGCAGGCTGCCCAGAGAGGCTGAGGAGCCTCCACCCTCGGAGGTGTTCAGACACGGTCCTGGGCAGCCTGCTCCGGCTGACCCTGGTCAGGCTGTGTCCACGTAGGCACAGCAAAGCCCCTGGTCCCTCACTGCATGTCCCGGAGAGTGGGCTGGAACCCTGCTAAGGTCAAATTCCTGTTCCGTGCTGATGTGCCAAAAGGCCTTGCCCAAGTCCTGGTGTCTCGTCGCTTGAGTGGCGAGGAGCACTTCTTGCAAGTAGCGAGGAAGCAGCCCATGTTGGCGGCTTCAAGAGCGAAACCTTGTCGCTCTGGTTCCTCTGCCCGGCGTTCGGTTAGCTGGCCCGGCTGCCCTCCTCCCGAAAGGTGCCACCCTCGTGCAAACCCTCTCTTTGCAGGAAAGCAGCTGGTGCACTACACGGCCCAGCCCCTCTTCCTGGTGGACTCGAGCGCTGTCGACATGGGGAGCGGAGACCTGCCGATATTCTTTGAGCTGGGGGAAGGGCCGTATTTCACGGACGGAGACGAGTACTCGGAAGATCCCACCATCTCCCTCTTGTCGGGGACTGAGCAGTCCAAACCCAAGGACCCTGCGATATCCTAAGGCCCAGGGCGGGGTGAAAGAGAGGAAGAGAAAGAATACGCACTAAAGGGAAATCCAGCCGTCAGCCTCCTCGCTGTGCACAGACATTGAAAGCTCTAAACACCCTCTGGTTCATGTTTGCTTCCCCCGGCACTGTGAGGATTTCATTTGTGTGTGTGCTTAATGAGGTGTTTTGAAATCTGCTTTA